ATGGTCTGACACGACAGGCAGGCCTAGACATTGTGAGATGACGCCCATGTGCTCATCCCAGCTGTACAGTAAGGCTAAATAACCATTTCAGAACTCAAGCACTGCAGCTGGCCCTTCAGGTTTAGAAGGTCATACCCCTATATTCTGTGACCATCTAACAGAAAAAGGTACTTCTAAGTACCCAAATAACCCTTGATCCTAACATTCATAGCATTTTTTTAAAACTACAGTTTAACTACGTATATTGGGATGTGTTTGTACACCGCCTGTCCTCCTCAAGTGATGTCAAGTCCATGGATATTGTCCTGGTCTGTGCCAAAGACTAATTTCTGAAAATGCCTTATTTAAAGTCTTGTAGTAAAATCTAAGGCGCTCCTTCTTTGTATTTAAAGATGGAGATGAAGCCTTATATTAAAGATCTTGATTGAGAAAGAATACAAGCATCAAGAATTATATAGTGATGTCTGCCATGGGAACATGGAGAGGAATGGTCTATGCCAGATTGTTCAAAGGACCTCAAAAACCATCTGAACAGTTCAATACATATGACTAGTTCTGCTACTTACTTCTCTTGTGTGTGTGCTTTTTGTTGTGTTGCTTACTTCTAATCTCAGTCAGCACCTTCTGTTATTTTAATGCTTCAGTATTTAACATAATACAGTTCCCTAAAACACTGAAAGCAACAAAATTCAGAAGGGAAACCAAGTGAGCCCTCTAGAAACGAACGGCACAATACAGAACTCTTGAAATTCGCTTTTTGTCAAGACAGGAACTCACAGCATAACCACCCTGGAGCTCAATTATGTAGCCTGGTCATCCTCTAACTAAAGGCCGTCCTCCTGCTTCTGCCTTCAGAGTGCTGGCATAAAAGGGTGTGACTACCTTGCTTAGCTTCTTCAAAAATTTTAGCCGGTCCCTCTATCTTCCTGGTAGCTAACAAGATGCATGTGGTAACTAGGCCAACAAGAGACCTAGCTGGCTTCAAAGCAAGAAATTGCTAATGACAGCTGGATTGTGATAACTCTGATACCATGCAGCACTAGGTCAGGCTGGGTTTGGCCTGTATGTTGCAACTCTTGCTTAAGCTGCAGCTTTGTAAATTAAAATGTTAAATAAAAATTAACCTATTGAAGACAAGATTAAACAGGAGGAAGGGTTTAGGTTCATGGGCTCCTTTCCTCAACCTCGTATTAGGCAGCCTAAAGGGACTACTTATGTGGCCTTTTCCTTTTCAGTGGAATTTAAAAGGTAAGTTAGCTAAGGCTTTGGCATATATTGACAAACAGGAGGAATAAGGGGGTTAAAAATCAAATAGCCCAAGTGTATGCTTTTTTGCCATTCCAAAGAATAAGATTCATGAAGCTCTACTGAAGTAATTGTTGGGATTCAGACCCGGGACAAGCAGCTGAGGTACCTTTTTAACCAAGCTGACCTGGTCTTCAGGTTTTCCCACCATCCCTCAGTCCCTACTCGTTATAGGGCATGGCTAGTATACCTCTGGCCCTCTAACCCTCAACTTTCCAGTCTAGGGTCTGGGCTTCCCCATATAATCCAGACATTTGGTGTTGCCATCCCCCTCCCTCACCCCACTCCCCAACTTTTCTGATTCCCCCTGCATGGCAACTTCCTGGATCCTGTTTTCCTTGGGACCAGTGAGCCCGCAGAAAGCTGCCCCCAATAAACCTGCATTTATTTACTCTAAGTTGGCTTGAATTAGCTAATTTTATCCAGTGGAGAAATACCTGTCAACAATGATTTATGATTATACAATTAACATATTCAAAACCTCTTCCAAATGTGCCGAGAAGCCTGTGAAGCCTGTGAAGCCTGTGAAGCCTGCTGGACTTGGGTTTGATTTTTAGTGTGGCTACTTAGCAGATAGGTGCTTTGGGGCAAAATCTCCGAGTCTCAGACTTCACAAATGTAAACTGAGAATACAAGTATCTTGTAGAACCATTTTAAAAATACATTAAAGAAACCCAGGAAATGGAGCATGAACCTGTTCACTGACGTCAACTCCTGGGGAAGCAGGAGTACAGCACTCTATGAAATCCAAGGTTTAGTTGGTAGCCATGTGGCTGAGCATTTGGGATCTTACCGAATAACTCATTTTAAACTATATTAATTTAGTTAGCCATTTGTGACTTGGGCTGCTATAGTGGGTAGCTAGAACAACATAAAAGCCATGAAAATGAAAATATATTTGAAGTTCAAAATCTCTATGGGAAGGAACCAGAAAAGGGGAATAAAGGAAAACCAGTAATAGGATTCCCTGTAAGTTTATCCCAGAAGATGTCTACAAAGTATATAAACTTTTTGGTCAAACATATCTGGACTTTCTGGGTTTATCTATGTGATCCAAGCCAGCTTATTTAAACCTCAAACTCATCTGTAAAGCAGGTACTTTGCAACTTCACCAAAGAACTGTAAAAATGACAAATGAATGATCCAATACAGCAGCTGCTCAGGGACTTCAGTTTTGTACATGATCACCTGACTATTATATTACATATAAAAAATATAATACTGAAAACAAAGCCAACACATTCTGGCAAATAGTTGGCAAGGAATTACATTTGAAGTATTGCCATTTAATTTTTAAAAAGTAGAACTTGGCCCATGCCTCTAATCCCAGCACACACGAAGGCAGAGGCAGGTGGATTTCTGTGTGTTCGAAGCCAGCCTGGTGTACAAATTGAGTCCAGGACAGCCACAGCTACGTGGAGAAACCCTGTCTTGAAAAACAAAAAAAAAAACAAAACAAACAAAAAAGAAGTGAAACTTTAAAGATGCGCAGCTAAAAGAGAATATGTCCAGAACTATACAGGAAAAAAGAAAACCCACAGAACAATCTTCAATCTAAAAACGCATAATTGCAAAATGGGACTAGACAGCGGTTGGGCAGAAAAAAATAAGCTTCCCAGCTCTAGGCAAAGTTTTTCAAAATTACTAAGATTCTCACGTAAAGAGAATTGTGGCCTAAATTATAACACTAAAATTTGGGAATAAATGAAAATTAAAGACAAAACTTAATTTTATGTTTATATCCTAGCCAAAAATATGCCACCAAGACTCCTGGAAAGTACTTCTAACACTTTGTATCCATGCAAAAAAAATTAAGTCTAAGCTCTCAAGACGTTCTGGCTGTATTTCCGTTCTTCTCAATAATAAAATCTTCCAGCTATTCCTATTAGATTGTTTACTGTAATCAACTAATTATGCATCATATTCAGACAGGGTCTCACTAAGCAGCCCCAAATAGCCTGGAACTCAGAGATCCACCTGCTTCCGCCTCCAGGGTGCAAGGTTAAATGCTTGCACTACCACACCCAGCCAGGGTGGTTCTTCAGTATTATCTGAGGAATGCCTTCAGTGCTCAAGGAGACCCACTCTAGACCATACCCCTTAGTTCTTAACTCCTGCCACATGTGCCACGGAAGGCTGCCAAACTGACTCTTTACTAATGTATGAGGACTAATAATGCTTCTTTTTACAAGTACTCCAGATAATCTTTAACCACTGAACACACTTTTAAATGCCACTGGGGGGGAAGGCTGTACAAAACCAGGATAAATTCTTGACTTTAAAAAGTTTATTTGACTTGGTCTGTGTAAATAATGTACTTTAGTCCTATTCTCTTGTCCTACATGCTCTTAAACAAAAAAAGTATTTACCATTGGAGTTGATGTAAGTAAGGAGACAAGTGTTTGTGTTTGTATATCCAGAAGGAAATAAATATATACATAGAATATGAAACCTAAAACCAAGAAACAGATCCGACACCAAAGGCTCCAGTTTCTTACCTCTAATTCAATCAACAAACCAAAAGACTTCTGAAATAGCATCCAACTAAGCAGTGAAATCAGAAACATATTCAGTGTCAATAAATCACGCACACTAAAACTAAAAGGAAACCTTGTTTAAAAGTTGGATGTACTCGTTCCAACAATGGGTCACTTTTGGTCTCTAGCTTTACTCTTATAACTGCTCTCTCTCTTTAACCACTGCATAACCAGGACACACAATATGTTGCTCAACTTTATGGGCTAACAACAGATATCCCGAGTCTGAAGTTTATTTGCATAATCTGAAATATAGATTGCACTGCAAAAGGACCTCTACTGCAACTACCTTCCACGCGGTTTTCCGAAAGTTGTAAAACCTTCAACTTTGAGAACCAGTGCATGACGGGGAGTGAAGTTTGACTCTGCTAGGTCCACCTCCCCCCATTCTGCTAAAGGAAAATACAATAATTCATTATCAACGGGTATTTGAACACTTATCTGACTATTAACAGAGAGAGAGAGAGAGAGAGAGAGAGAGAGAGAGAGAGAGGAGGGAGGAGGGAGACAGAAACTGCGAAGAGACAGACAGACAGACCCGCCTGCCGGCTGGGCAGATGAGCTCCACCCCCGACGCTTAGGGCCAGTATCTTTGCCAGTCTTCTTTATTAAGCTTTACATTCTGGTACGGCCTCATCTCACATGCAGTTGTTAATCTTGGAAAGCATCTTGGAGCCCAAACTGGCTTTTTAGAAGAAAGAAAACGAGGTTGGGTGGCTCTTATACCGAGCTCCACAACCGAAATGGTTGGGACCAGAAATTACGTGTCCCTAACCCTGGCTCTATGCAGACTAGTCCGGGGAAGGAAAGAGTAGGTAAGTGTCAAACAGACAACCCAGGGCAAAAAGAAAGCCGTAACTTAGACAGGGCTGAAAACTTTGGGTCGCCACTTCAACCATGCCCCAACAATGCCCAAAGCTCAGGAGAAAGGTTGAGCGCCAACGCGACTAGTGACAACTCCTAAGAATTTTGAGAATTTCAGCCTCAGGAAAAGCTGCGAAAAGACAAGGGCTGGGAACGCCAAGCGCAGGTTTGTGCGGCGCCTGGGTCCCTCCCCACGACGCCAGCAACTGGGGGCGTGCGCGGGGCGGCCGTCCGCGTGCGGGGCCGCGGCGGCGATAGGGTGTTCCGGGACCCCCGACACCCCTCACTCCTCACCGGGGCCGTAGAACTTGCTGCCTTTGGTCACGTCGAAGACTTTCCCATTGACCGCGAGCAGGATGCGCGGCGTGCGCGCCCCGTCGTACTGGCGCAGCTGCTCCAGGCTGAAGTCCCGCTTCTTCATGCGCGGCAGCGAGGCGGCCGGGCTCTCCTCGCCCGCCCCGGGCCCCGAGCCCAGACCCCGTCGCCCCCAGCGCACCCACAGCCGGTAGGCCCCCAGCAGCACCAGCGCCACCAGCGCCACGTTCAGCAGCATCTCCCAGCCCGTCGTCAGCAGCGCCGCCACCCAACTGCTCCCCGCCGCCGTCGCTCCCGCGCCGCCCGGACTCCCGTCGCCGCCGTCGCCGCCACGCTCCCCGTCGCTCCCCAGGGTGCCTAGCTTTACGTCCCCATCACCCGCCGCCATCACTGCCCGCCAGCGCCTTCCTCCTCCCGCCCCCTGCCCTCCCCAAGCCTGCGGCCCCGCCCTCCGGGCGGCGCGCAGCCAATCACGTGAGGGGACGGGGCGTGGCAGCGCCCGCAGCTTATTGGCTGTTGGCGGGGTAACGTTGTCTGGCTTCGCTCTCGCAGCTCCTGCTCTGGCTGGCGGCGCGCGCGGGCGGCGCCCCGCCCACCTCGCCCCACACTTCCCTGCTCTCCCTGTCCCGGCGCTTCAGCCTAGGGAGTGTGAGGGAGGGGCGGGTCTGAGGGAAAAGGGGGCGGGCGGAGAAGACGGAGCCGGCCGCGCGCGTGCGCACTCGCACGCACGGGCGGGACGCCGTCAAGGCGCGTGCGCGGGCCCTGGAGCGCCACGCGCTGGGCTCTCTTCGCCGGCCCCTCCCTGCCGCGCGCGCCGTTTCTCTCGGAGACGGCGGGTTGGCGTCTGTGACGACGCACGGCCGAGGCTGGACGGGTGCTGGAGCCGTGGAGCCGGCCTTCGGGCACTGGTCCCAGCTGCGCCCGGTGCCTCTGCTCCGGATCCGAGCAGCCCCTAACTGGAGCCCGAGGCGCGCGGGCTCCCCCGCCTCCTCCGCCGTGGGCGTGCGCGGATAAGGCCGCCAAGGCTCCGGCTCCACAGCCCGGCTCTGCGGCCTGCGGGAGCCTTGGCTTTCCGGCGTGAATTCCGCCCGCCTCGCGCCCTCAACTAGTTTGACAGGCTCCTGTCGCCCTGCCTGTAAAGAAGGAAGGTGCAGCCAGGGGGTGGCCAGTTCCCAGTGACTTTGAGCACCCGAGAGAGGGGCGCGCGGACGGGTATAAGCTGTGGCAGCTTAGGAGTGAGCTACCCAGCACAAAAGAGCCGATTCTGGCTTTGGCGCGAGCGGTAGTCTAGAAAATTAAGAGTGGGCTTTTCTGGCAGATACTAGTTTTTAGGTAATTTAGTGTCAGTGGATAGGACAGTACTATCCATTAACGATACTGGTGATCAAACGTTCCCTGGAGAGGTTTTATTAGCACTTGAGGGAAAGGGGTGGGATGGGAAACCAGCCATTGTACGTAACACTCAAATTATGGCTTTGGTGCGGGGGTTGGAAACGTCTTCTGTAATAGATTATATGTTTAAGTGCTATGGACTACAAGGTCTCTCTCCCAACTTCTCAACTCATAGTTAAGTGTTCCAGTTTAAACTGTACTTAGAGACACTGAAACTGAATTTGTTTTCGGGAAATAGCGTTCTTTTGTTTTTGAGACGGTCTCACGTGGCCCACACTGGCTTTGAACTTGCAATGTAGATGAGGATGACCATGAACTCCAGATCCTCCTACCTCCTGTATGTCAGCAAGCACTCATAACCAGCTGAGTTACATTCCCTTGCCCATTGTTCTGACTGTTCAGTCACTCAATATTAAAGTCGGTTCCAGACCCTAAAGAGGCACAAAAACAGCCTGTAAGCTGTAGTTTGCCAACCCCTGTCTGAGAACATTTTCTTATTTGTTTGTTTGTTTGTTTATTTATTTAGGGCTGTTGTCTTTACTTGGGAATTAGTGACCATGTAATCTTTGTACTGAGAGAAACCTCAATAGTTAGTGGAAGGTTAAGGGTTAGAAGTCATAGTTGCTGTGGGACTTGGTAACAGAAAATGGAAATGTCAGCGATGGAGACAAGATTGACAAATGGTGGCAGCAGTCTCAAGTGTCTGAACAGTTGGGACAGTGACAGTAGGTAAAAAGAAGCCTAGAGGCTTGTAGTGGGCCACTCGTACCTTACAGTTCAGAATTGGGTCACTGGCTCTCCCGAAAGCATGAGCTGACAGTGAGATTGCCTTCTGTTACATAGCTTTGGGGAGTTCTTACGAAAGACTGTCCTGGACGTGGGGCATGGCTAGTCACCCCAGGCATTATGACATGCAAACAGCTCTTCTTTTCTACTGTGTACTAGCTCCCTAGGAGGGTGGCACTGGCTGAGAACCATTGGCCAGGCTTAACGCTGGAGCTCAATTATGGGATGTTTAGTTTTGCTTCACTTAAGTGGTTTAGAAGAGAGGAACTGGAAAACATTGTATCGCTGTTGCTCCCTACATGGGGTGGGGAATGTTGGGTAGTTAATATTGTCTAGTGAAGCAAGAAAGTTTATGCCCTTCCTAAAATAAATGTCTTGACTTCACATTGGAAACCCTACCCCCTCTTAGAGTCCTCTGTGCAGGTTACCCTCAAGGTAAGCCTCCGGAACTGGTCCAAAGACGTTCTTTCTTTTTGCGCTGTCATAGTAATCTCTTCCAGTAGGTATTTACTGCTTTGAATACTACAGTAATTTTCCAACTGATGCTTTCCTAACCTCATTCCCACATGAAGGGACTCATCTTGTATTTTAATTTCCTTTGATCAGACATCAATCTCAAGGGCCAGGAAAGGAGAACTCAGCAATTGAGAAAAGCTGTTTGCATTTAGAGATTTCTGTAAATCCCTAAGTGGCCCCTAGCTTTTTCCTAGATATACTAATCTCTGAGATGTCCTCTCTTAAAGTGATCCTTTTGTTGTTGTTGTATTTTGTTTTGTTTTTGTTTTTTCTATAATAGCTTGTTCTGTGGCCCCCACTTGCTGGTTCATTGCCCACTCCAAGACTCTGTGCTCACACTAATTTGTCACTGAATGCCCTCCTTAGTTTTCCACCTGTCCAATGTTACTTTCCCTTTCAGGCCTGTGACTGATTTCTGTCTTTGAATGTCTATAGATCTCTTCCTTATTTCACCCATTTTGGCCTCTTATTCTTGACTTTTGTATTTTTTTTTTGTTTTGTTTTGAGGCAAGATGTCTCTGTGTGGCCAAGACTGCACTCAGCTGAGATTGGCCTCCAGCTCTTGATTTTCTTCTCTCATCCTCCCCTAGTTGATGGGGTTACAGACTTGTGTGGGATTATCACGTTGAAATTCTTTGGATTCTAGTATCCCTCCTTGTGCATTGTTGATGTTCTTTTTCTGACTTTTTTATTCCCTCTTTTTTCTTCCCTGCTCTTAACTTTGGTTCCTTAGCACTGCATGTACTTCCTGATTTACCAATTATCTTTGGGAGATGCACTCCTGCAGCTCTAACCTCTCTAGCCACATACTGTGTTAACCCCTACCCCTGAGAGATTATTTGTCACTTCCAAAGAAAGGCTTGGAACACCTGTGCACCTTGCTCATGTTCTCTCCTTTTGCCAGGAGATATTCCCCCAACCCCCGTTGTCTGTTGTCCCATAGCCACCACTTAATTTTAAACAGTCAAGCAACTTTTGCTCTCATGGTTTTGTGAGTTGGCAGCTCATGGGGCATTGTCCAATTTTGCTTTGAGGTTTCTTCACATGGCTTCTCCAGAAGAATAGCCTGCTAGTTCAGGACTTGGAAAGCTAAAGGACAAACTTCTAGGTCTTTCTAAGTCTTAAGTTGGAAACAACACGTTTCTGGTGGTGAAAGCAGTCATAGGTGTATACCTGCTGAATTGTAAAATGTGAGGAAAGCAAGTATCAATGGGGGTTGGGTGTGAGGTGACAATCTCCATTATGTTTCAAATGATCCCAATTCATCATTTAGTCTTAGAGTCAGGGTGAAGCTGAAAAGAGCTGCTAGCTAACGTATGGCATCGTATGAATGAGAAACAGCTCTACTGTTTCAACTCAGATATTTGAAATTGTGCTATTAACTTTACTGGGCTGACCATAACTGATAACAGATATCACAATCTAAAATACAAGGTTTTGACATATATGACATGCTATGCATTTGTGTTTGGATGTTAGACAGCATCCAGCTCTCATTTCTACCACGATACTTAATAAAGATTTCTTAAATAAATTTGAGAGTCTGTGTCTTGTAATCCTTTCCTATCTTAGTGGAAACGTTTCTTATTGTTGAAGAGAATTCCTGATATATGGAGAAGAAACATTGATCCTCTAGGCTTGCCAGTGAATTTCCAGATATGTGATCTTTGTACTTATGCAACCTACCATTCTCCTTTCTCCTCCCTCTCTGGAGTCAGAAACTTGCATTTCTTTTTTGCCTATCTTATACCTCAAATTTGATAGGGGACTGCTTCTGCTGAGACACACCCCTGTAATTTTACCAGAATCCCTGGGGGGAGGGAAGCTTCTGAACTGGGAGCTAAGTTCACTTCCAGAGACCAACAAGACCTGATGTTTGAACTTTAATTTACAGTGGTCAGAGAGTTCAATGTTGGATGTGATAATTTTGGACTTTTAACACAAGTTGGCACTGATTACTTTGAGCTGTAATTTAGAATAGAGCAATTTGATCTCTAATTTCTCCTTGAAAACTTCATATTGAGAGAGGTGTAAGGTAAAGTTGGGGACAAATTTTGACAATTACCCAAGTCTTGGATTTTTTTTTCTTCCTAGAATGATTATTATGAATAAGCCAGCAGGACCTAAATTTGGGTACAAGCTGAATTAGCTGAGATACTGTACTGACCCACTCAGGGTCTCCTGGGGTGGGGAAAAAAACTTATACATCATTGGTGTAAGAGCTCCTACAAAAAGATAAAAAGTATTGTGAAAGTAGAAACGGCCATCTCAATTAACTGCTGATTTATCCAAGTGAATAAATATCTCCGGTTGAGCTCAGTGGATAGACTAGAAGGGGTAAGGCAATGGCCACTTGTTTTTTATATACTGCCCACAATAATATTTTAAAGACAGGTCTCATAACCCAGGTTGGTATTGAATTACAGTCTTCCTGCCTTAATTTTTCCATAATGGGATTTTAGGCTATATACCACCATGCCTGGCTCTCATAGGTGGTTACAGAGCCAGGTCTGCCACTGTGATGTTAACACTTGGGCGACAGAGGCAGGGAGATCATGAGCTCACTTTAGGAAGTTTAAGACCAGCCTGAGCTTAACCTTCCTAAACTTAGACATGTGGCTCTGTCTCAAAAAACAACCTCAAACAAGAAGGGTTATTGTATTAAATACTTCTTCTGTAGCTGCGATAAAGAAGAGTGACCAGGCAACTTCTGGA